TAGAACCAGTACTAAGTGATACTGGCAGGAACCACCAATATTAGCAAAAAATCCAAAAACGTAACCAGAAAGTGTTCTTTTTGAATTAAGGAATCAGTGAATTAGGACCGGCTCACAAAAACACTGACTGATATAGATACTCACTGTGTGTCACTGCTTTCATTACGATCATCAGCAGCTACAAGAAATAAATACAATTTAAGTCAAAAATCAGTCAAGACACTGGTCAACATAGGTGTGCACCTTAGTAGCATAAACAAAACAAATATAACATCATATGCAAAGCCAGTAAAGTGTCCTAGATGTATGAACCAAGAAGCTATTCCACTATTACCTAGTAATGTTGCATCCTGGCTTTCTAGTGGATAAAAGCTACCATCCTCATCATTCTGGGGACCATGCAAATCAACATGGGCATTCAATTGTTCTGTTTTTTCCACAAAACCATTATGCCCAGTGAAGTATTCATTTTTCTTGCCATAAAGTGGTTCTTCTCTCAATGGCTCACGTTCTTGATACCGTCTTTCAGATATTTCTTCTGGTTTTCCCACAAAACCATCTCGTCCAGTGAAATATTCATTTCTTTTATAGACAGTCTCATCTGCTGGCAAACTAAAACTGTTTCCAAATAATCCGTACTTTGAACTGTTATACTCATTACAATCATTTCTTTCTACATACTGATGTTTTCCAGTATCATGATGATCTGTCTCTGTGTAGTCCCTTTCTGCAACATTCCTTTCTTTATCAGAATTTTTATTAAAGCTAGTAGAGAGATCTCTCGTGTTGCTTGGTCTTTGATGATTGGAGGAGACATTGTCATCTGAAATAAAAAGAACTTGAATTACATTCTGTAGAAGATCAGTAACCTTAAGGTAGCATTCCCACTTTTTCCCATTTTGTAGTTCATGAGAAAGCTTATCCTACAGATCCTGAAATTGAATTTAGAAGCATTTCCTCAAATAAAGTGATGCAGACATGACCTAGATACAAAAATGAAAATTGTGATTTGGTGATTCTTCATCATGACCTTGTTTCTGTCAACTACAGGTTAGCTTTGGTGTTATGTGGTTGTTGATAAAGGGTGATTTTCTATTCACTGTGTATGCATGAGTGGTACAGACCGAAATTGAACAATTTGATTATGTTGAAATGCCAAGCTTTCAGAGTGGAATATGACATTGAGATACACTTACTCTAGCAAAATTGACCAACATCAAATGTGTATAGCATATTATTAGAAGGGTTGGGTCATTGCGCCACGTCCTGCTCAATATGGGACTCATAGCAACATAGACAATGTGTGTAAAATACAATGTTTGTTTACAAGAAATAATGTTGTGATTGTCAAATCCCACATGATGTTTTGACGCCACGACAAGGTTTTGACTTTTGTTTGTTAGGTTTTTACATTCAACTTCACACATAATGTGGGATCTCGCAAATGGTCTATTTATTGAAGTTTGAAAAGCTTAAATTATTAAATTATCAAATTATTGAAGCTAAAATTAAAACTGTCATGTTATCAGTGCTGAACCACAAGTTCAGAGCAAAGAGTAATTAATACCTTTCATCAGCTCAGAATATATACCACTAAGTTGAAGTAGAGTATCAGCAGATGAAACTCTGCTATAGGATTGTACTGGTTCCTGGTAACTATAAGATGATCTCTCTGATCTAGTCTCAGTAGAGCCTGTATACATAGAATGTCATTATTACACAGACTACACATGCATGTCATGTATCGTGTTCTCCTCTGATACACAGGCAGGGTATAAATAGACACCACCTCATTGTGCCACTCTTTCTACATCATCAAATAACAGACTCCCAATCTCTATCTGCATTCATGTGAAGACGATGAGATCTATGATTAATACGACCATCACCTAATGCCCATTTCAAGATCAAGATTAAGACAATAAAGTGTACACTCTCATTCCTATGAGACAAAGCAGATTTAACGGTGGAGAATTACTTACCATTTTCTTCAGGTATTGTAGACAATGCAATGTTGTCATCTGAATATGGAGATGCTGTTGACTGATAATTGTTGTCATTGATAGTGTGTTCTGATAGTAAGCTGATATCACTCAGTCTGCCTGAACTTAGTATACTAGCATTAGTAGACATATACGGTGGCTGAATAGATAAAAACAAAACATTAGCATTAAGAGAGTATGGGTAAAGTTTCTGACAATATGAAATATGATTGGATAATATTCAATCTATTCACTCATGAATAAAGCAAAGTTTTCTATATATAAAAATGTTATTTATACCAGTGCATGGTAATTAAGTAACTTGAATAGGCTGAATTGTAATATAATTGTGGTGCAATCTTATATTACCTTTCTGACTACTGATTGGCTACCAGTTCCTAACAATGATAGTGCTTCATTGCAATGTGACTGCATCAGTGTCTGTAAGCTTGCAACTAACTCGGATCTAGAAATCAAAAGTAAATAAACATGAACACTGGAAATATACAAGTCAATGTATTTTATAGTAACAGATGGAATACTGAATTACCGGTAGTAATATAATAGTGAACATGTATTTCACATTTCCTCACCTGTGAAGCTCCGACTTCTGAGCTTTCTTTTCTAGGTCTGCAATTACTCGTCTGTTTTCTTCCAAACTATGACAGAGGTATAGCAAATACATGTATATAGCAGATGTAACATTTGGCATTCACAAAATGTAATAATCATGAACTGCAAATAACTCTCAAAGTTGTAGCATCTAACAATCAGCCATTTTTAACAGCTCAAAATATAAAACTGCACTGTAAAAATATTGGTTGTCACAAAATATATGCACATGTAATCTAATGCAGTACTTGATCTGAAGAGTAAAGTTGGAACAAGCAGCCTGTCGGCTGAGATAGCTCCGCTGTTAGCAATGCACATATCAAATAAGAACTGAAGATATCATTAGAAAATGAACAATATGTATAGTATCAAAGTAACCAGACTTGCTGTTTTCAACAAGAACTCAAAATTATCACTTTTTACCAAAAATGACAAAAATAATCATCAAAATTAGATAATTGAAGATATCACCACAGAATTAACAAATCTGAAAAAGGTCCACATGTAGTACCTGTATATGTAATATAAAAGCAATCGGACATGTGGTTTTCAACAAGAAGTCGAAAATATAACTTTTTACCAAAAATGACAAAAATATTCGCCATAATTAGAGAATTGAAGATATCGTCATGAAATGAACAAACCTAAGAAAGGTCTACCCAAGGTACATATACACCAAGTATCAAAGCATTCAGGTTTGTAGTTCTCAAGAAGAAGTCGAAAAAGTAAAACATTGACACAGACGATGGCGGAGACGAACAATCACTCATATGATAAAAGTCGACAGCAGAGCTAATAAAAAGAGTGAAAAAACTCCCACCTGTCTTCATAATCTTGTGTCATGATTTTTAACTTTGCATCTTTCTTAGTGAATTCTAACTGTGCGTCAGTTCTCTGTTGCTCTAATTCCATTTGATGGCTTTCATTGATGTCTTGTACTTGTCTTCTATGAGATTCTCTGATCTCTGCCTCCTTCTCACTCATTTTCTGATGAATCTCAGACACTTTATCTGCAATCTGTAAAAAAACCAAGTAAGTGTGAATAACGATGTCATCTATTGAAAGCTAAAACACAAGAAGGGTAATATGTGCTGCTAATACATGTTTAGATAAACATTAGACTGTAATACTCATTTATTACTACTGTAAAATGACTAATTTTCACTGGGTTTAAATTTCACTGCTTTGCCATTTCAGGCATATTCTTTGGATTTTAAATTCACGGTTTTATCATTTAAATAATGTGTTCTATGCTAAATTTTACATATTCACTGGGTTTTAATTTAGCGCATTTTCCAGTCAGCGAAATAAGCCAAATTAAAACCCAGTGAATAATTAACCCCTTTACAGTATAATAACACTGGGTAATAGTCTTTATTTTACCTTGATAAACTCCCAGGCAATATTGTCTTCCAACCAGAGAATCAAGCAATAATAAAATAATACAAATACCGAAAATTTGATGAACAAAATATATAATAATTTTGAAAATACAAAAACTTAAACAAGCTCTAAAGTTTCATCCCACTATATTTACAAATGTTACTAAATGTTTGTACTTCATGTTACGTTATGTACAACCTTCTTTTACAGAAGTTCAGGTAATTCTTTAAAGAACATATAAAGTTTGGTGCTAATCCTGATTTCACGTTATACAATAGTTTCTGAAAATATGACTTTTTTATGAAATTGGAGCAACTTCAGTGAAATAAACAATTCTTACATTAGTGTCCTAAAATTAGTATCAAATTAGTGTGAACAAATCTTGCCTGAAATCTGACCAACTTTGTCTCTATTATTGAATATATACATTTTATTTTCTAAACACTTTGTTGTAACACAGTCTACAGTATAATTTAACCTTTTAACAACATTGTTTAATAATTTGCCAGCTACATGATATGTATGATGGTTAAATTATCTGCATACATCACTTGTATGTTCACTTGTACCGGGGTAACTACTGACAACTACAAATCAAACTGTCCATATACAATATTTAGTGAATTTCTTACTTTTATCTCTAACTCAACTTTGTGTTGAGATTCCATTTTAGTCCGATTTGCTTCATGTTTAGCTTCCAGTAAACTGATTTCCATTTTCATGTTTTCCTGCAAGTAACACATTTTGAAATTGAACAAGTAAGTGACATGCCTACTTTCATTATAAGATATATCACATGATTTACTATGTATGTACAAAGTGTGATAGGATTGTATGTGTACATGTGTCACATGATGTACTATGTATGGACAAAGTGTGATAGGATTGTATGTGTACATGTGTCACATGATGTACTATGTATGTACAAAGTGTGATAGGATTGTATGTGTACATGTGTCACATGATGTACTATGTATGTACAAAGTGTGATAGGATTGTATGTGCACATGTGTCACATACACAAACAGTTCAGATATGTCAGAGATGTGTCATTTGGAACAGTATTGTTAAACAAAAAATGGTTACTGGTAATAAGAATAATAGTACTGGTAATATGATATTAGTGATGACACTTCTCCAATGATTGACCCTGATTAGGAGGCAAAATATGAAAATAGATAACTTACTTTGTCAGTCCTAATGGTGTCTAATTCCATTTTTACACTATCCAACTCTGTCTGCACTGATCTTAGTACCCTCTGTGCATCCTGTGAACATCGCGTTTCTTTCTCTAATTTCCTCTAAAAATTAAAACAACAACATTTTATACTATGTACAATACCATGTTATATTGAAATCACAAGACCTAAACTACATGACTGTATATACAGATATAAGCCATTGGATGCTCTCAATCTATTTAGCATGCTTTGATTCTTACCTTGTACTCATCCATGGCATTAAAATGTTCTTTACTGGCTCTGTTTAGTTTTCCCTGTAGTTCATGTTCCATGGCTTGCCAGTGTATACGATCCTGCAATGTGAAAATATTCAATGGTGTGAGATTTTCTTTAAAGCGTGGTAGTCGTTTCACCGCGCATGTGCGACATTTGTGTTGATAAACATAAATCATAAATCCATAACCAATGCGTTCTTCTAATGGCAATCACAAGTATGAGGTTTGACCTGGGCCGCAACTTGCACTGAATACCACCAGTGACTCATTTGATACCTTCCAATCACCTAAAAATTACCTAATTGAAGCTTGGAAATGTCTCAGTTTGTACTCGCTGATCTGCGCAACAGTCAAAGTCGTCATCTTTGCTTATATGAGACCTATATATCTCACTCATATGTGGCATGGCGACTACCGCCCTTTAATTCTAACAAACATATAAATTGCAATACTACAATGTATTTTTATGGTCAGTGGAATAGTTATCCTCGCAATCATATGGATCATCAGTCAACACTGTGACAGTCAATAATACCAATATATGTATAAAATTTTGATCATATTTGTGATTTTTAGAAATATTACTGTTTAGTACCTTTTCCATCATTTTCTGCAACTCATCAACTTCTTTCTCCATTCTCTTGTTCTTTTTAACAGCCTCAGTTCTCTCCACTTCAAGTTTCTCAACTCTTTTCCTCTCACTTTCTAGAATTTTCAATGTCTCAGCGCGTTCTTTAGATTGTTTTGATATCTTAAACAAAAACCAAAAATGACTATGAAATATATGCTGAAAAAATGTTGTCCGACTGCAATGAGCAATACCACTATATGTCTCTGAGTAAAATGGTAATTTAACAGAGGAAATATACTTGATTGCCATGAATTTGGAAAGGCAGATGGAAAGGGCAAAATAGTCCTTTCCTAAAGTTAAATATGTATGTGGACTTAGATATGGTAAGAACTCTACACTGTACATGTATGTAGATTTAGATATGGTAAGAACTCTATACTGTACATGTATGTAGATTTAGATATGGTAAGAACTCTACACTGTACATGTATGTAGATTTAGATATGGTAAGAACTCTATACTGTACATGTATGTAGATTTAGATATGGTAAGAACTCTATACTGTACATGTATGTAGATTTAGATATGGTAAGAACTCTATACTGTACATGTATGTAGATTTAGATATGGTAAGAACTCTATACTGTACATGTATGTAGATTTAGATATGGTAAGAA